GGGGGCAGCACGGGGGCAGCAGGTTGCCTTTTTTACCAGAACTGCACTTCGAACGTCGTTCGTTTTTCACATGAATTGAAATTGAAAACTGTTTTTAAACAATTTTGCTCATATTTGAATCTGAATACCTCTCAGAAACGTTACCAATCAGTTTCCACCTATGAAAAAAGTGGGGAAAGAAAGGGGGGGGGGAAAGAAAGCCATAGGCTATGGACAAACAATATTCTATAAGGCCGACATGTTGTGTGATCGATGCATAAATATAAAGAAATCTTAAATAAAACTTCACTATAAACATGAGAATCAACAAATGCTTACATTGTGGACACTGAATATAACATATTTTACCTTCTCGACGCGACTCACGCGATAATTATGCTAATACAGCATAGCGAATATTAAAATATCATATGTCATACAATCATTAACAACACCGATGGCTTTGGTACTCCGGTTTAATATAAACTAAAGATACATCACTATATAACCAAAAATTTCTCTACCTTATTGCAGTGCAAGCGGTCCCAAATGTTGTTTTAGGTCACTTTTTACCTCTATTAAGCGGCCAGCCTGCAGGATTTACTTGGCACAACACCTTGTCAAGACAGCCAAAAATAAAAGTCGAGCTAGTTTGCTTTATTTGTAAAATAAGGCTTAAAAATTATGTTTTAACACATGCCACTTTACACCTCAAAAGCTTTACATCTCAAAAGCATTGACTATACGCCCAGGGTCTATTATATGCGTACCTCTATTTAGCGGCCACCTCTATGAAGCGGCCACAACGCCGATCCCCGAGGGTGGCCGCTTAATAGAGGTTCGTCTGTATTTATTTAAATGGCAATCGTTCAAGGAGGTGAATGCCTCAAGTTATCGCACTGACCACCACTGGCAATATCATGCCCCATGAGATTCCAAATTGCAGGTTAAAAAACAGCTGAATGAATGACAGCAAACAGGTTGACTGTAGGCAACCGTTTTGGCACCGTTTACTTTATTTTATTTAAACTTTTGCTTTATTTTATATTATTTTATTGTATTTTACTTTACTTTGTACTAATTTTACTTTTCTACTGTGAGCTTAAATTAAGAATTAATGAGACATTTACTCATTGTGTCATAGTGGCTGATGCGGTATTTGAAAAAAAATGAAAACCGATACCGGAAAAAAAATATCGATAGTACAGATATATCGGTATTTTTTCGCGATTGTAATTTGCTTAATTTATGCAAAATTTGCTTAATTTAGTGCAAAATTTTCTGTTTTCAAATGATGCCAAACAGCCACAATATAAAGCCGGTTTTCCACTAGCGATTTTTTTCGCGCGAAGCGAATTTATTCCATTGTCTTTGGGCAATTTGTTCCAGATGGTTGCAGCTGAGAGCTCTAAAACAATAGCAAAATGTCGCTTCGCGCGAAAAAAATCGCTAGTGGAAAACCGGCTTAACAGCTTTGACTCATCGGGTGCGAGATATTTTCAATGAAGTGTGAGGCCAGTGATCAGTAGCCTGTGAGTGTGAAAATAATGTCCGCTTTAGAAATTGAAAATGCATAGCATTGAATACCGCTCTAGATAAACCATGTGTGATATTTTTGACCGGTCCGGAAAATTTGTTTCAAAACATGTTATTCAACTGCGAATTTGAAGCAAAGATTGTCCTATCTCACCAGATAAACAATGTCCAACGAGGTTAGTTTTTTTTTGTTTTTTCTAAAACATTTTGTAATCCGGCACCGTTGTTTACGCTCTAAAAGTTCACTTTTTGACAAGCGAAGATATTATGTACCTTGAAACGCTAACGTAAAAAACAAAAGCGTTTGTCGTTCTAGCTCTCGCTCCATATAACCTTAATTTACGGATTTTAGCACATTGATCGTCTTTGTCCCTAAAATAACTCCAATCAGCCCTTGAAAATACATTAATATGACATTTAAATTTACAAACGTAACGTGATATCGATAATACCGAAAAATATCGATATTCCGATATATCGAAAATTTCAATATCGAGTAATCGGTATTCATAAAAAGCCGATAATTATCGGTATATTGATATGCCGCAACAGCCTACTGTAGGTCTGATGGTATATTTTGTTTTTTTATTATTATTTTTAGTGGCGGCACGAGTTTTAAGGAATGTTAAACTGGAACTTGAAGGATATCTTTTGCAATTTAAAGAAAAGCGACCAGAATTATTTCTTCCTCCGAACAGGAAGAAACTATATGTAGAAAATATAGACCCAAAGACAAGCAAAGACAGTTTGTGGAATTACATCGAAGTAAGAGCAAAAATGGAGGTCTGTGATATACAGTTTGGCCAAAATGGAAGCGCTCTTGTAACATTCAATGAAGAACCAGGTATTCACATGTGTGTCATGCAGTGCAGTCTCAAATTCAAACTGCCGCTTATTTTATGGGCCGATCTTTATACTGCTGAAAGAATTAGATTTTAATCCTTTCTAATATATTTCAGCCATATTTTGGCAGTATAGCTGGTTTTTTATCCAGTAAAGTGCGCTAAAAGCCAGAATATCAGCCGTTTTGAATTGTCATTGTCGCCATAGCAACAGCAGTGACGACATGTTTGCGACCAAACTCTTTGATTTATTTAATTTATTTTTATATAACAAGCAACATTTTTTCGAACCTTTGATCCAATTTATGAATTTTCTGTATTTAAAAAATAGAAGTTTAGCTGCCTCCTATGGGATATCCTTGTAGAATCAAACACTATTTAATTGCTATTTATTTCCTATTTTATTGGGCTATTTAATTCCTATTTGTCAAAGTATCTATTTCCTATTTTTTCTATTATTTTTTCTCGAGGTTTTTCCTATTTAAATTAGGGTAGAAAGGCTATTTTTTTCCTATCCAAATGGAACCATATTTTTTTCCTATTCATGATATATGTCTATAAACAAATATAGTTCATTGATGTACTCGAATAGAAATTAAATAGGTTTCAAATATAATAAAAATAGGGCTATTTAGGGGAATTATTAACTGAAATATATAGTTTCAAGTTTCGACATATATAATAAATATATATGAAATAGTTAAAACATAGTAACAATATAGGTAAAAAATATGTAATAAATAGCTGAAATGAGTTTCAACAAAGTTGAAAATAGTCGGTAAATAGTTCAAAAATAGTAATAATATAGTTTAAAAATGTATTATAAATAGTTAAAATATGTCCCAGCTTGTTAAAAATAGATAATAAATAGTGGATCTATAATATTGCCCAAATAGATTAAAAATAGTTCAAAAATAGTAATAACATATTAAATAAATAGTTAAATTAATACAGTTAAAATAGTTATTAAATAATGTATACAAAATACATATATAGCCTTTAAGTACTTTTAAAATATATTATAAATAGTTAAAACATAGATAATAAAAAGTTAAAACATATAGTATAAATAGTCTTTAAATAAACTATAATTAGTAAAAGAAATTGAAAACAAGTGTAGAAGTGCTGAAACATCAGAGGCTATTACATACCTACTTTAGCATTTACCATCTATAAATGCCAGACAATTTTACTTGTCAGTGGGTAGATGTCTGCCAATAAATGAGTTAAAAATCTGTAGTCTTTTAGCGAGATATTCAATATAGTAGACATAGTTAGCAGTCTTTATAGTAGCCAAAGAGTGAAGTACATACATACAGTAACTTGGCTGGGGACTGGGCAGAAAAAAAGCAAGAACATCATGTAACATGAAGAATAGGGTGAAGCTCTGCAGCAGTTAGGTTCAGGCCTTCTTTACAAGTTAGAAAAAAAACTATATATTTGAATAATACCCTGCATCTAGCTGGATATTTTTCCACTATCCAACATATATCCTCTATGCAGCTGGATGGCAAAAACATTCTATCCTGCATACCCCTACAAAGAACTTCAAGTAGGTGACATAAGAGGAAATTTCTCCTTTATAGGTGTTAATAGGCGATATATGGGCCAGCATATGCACAGTCGCGGTAAGTAAAATTGTGTACCATGAAATGTCAGAGTTAAATAATAATATCAAAGTCCTTAAGTAGGAAGTGTTCAAAAGGAAATTGCAACTAATTGATCTAAATATTCTAGCTAGACACTTCCCTTGACAAATAAAATTGTTAGGCAAGATAACATTTGTCATTTAATAACAAAGTGCTGAAAATTGGGCTCATTGGAGTGAAATGGGTAATTCCAAAAACAATAAAACCCTTGCCGGGGTGTCTCTAAAATATATAAACAGTCTAGCCCAAAAATTGTTACAATTATATTATTAAGCAGATCATGCATACCTGTGGTGTAACTAAATGTATATGATAAGTTGGAACAAGTAAACTAAGGACTTTAACTGTTTCCAGTTAGGGACACGTCTATAATCAAGTTGCCACACATGACATCACAACAACACATCAAATTGATCTTTTTATCCATTCTAAACTGACCCACCTATATATATGAATAAATATTAAAGACTTATGAAAGTATCAGTTGATTTGAAACCAGTCGATAAATTTTCTCAAACCATGTTTAGCTGGGACATGCCTGGGTAGACAAATGAGAATTGAGTAGATGCCAAACTATATTTATATTTTATACAAGAAACACTAATCTGGCAATCTGTCAATGTCATATACTGAATAATACACTATACACAAAAGTCACAAAGTATACTATCTGGCATCACAATAAACATATATAATTTAATATAAAGGTTGAGTCAAATGTAAGCCTTTCTATAAAACTATATGTATTTATATCATATGCATCGTTTTAATTCAAATATTGTCGCAGCAAATTAAAATTTTAAGCCGGAACACATCACCAGACTGGAATCTTTGCTGTGCGCGGGGAAGTTCTTCTCGAAGCTTTGGTTTCATCCTCGCAAAATTGGGAACCATCCGCGCATATGACAGATATTTTTAAACTTAATCTGCGCGAAATTTCGATTTACAATTTTACAGCAATTTACACTAGTTTGTCTGCACTTTAGTACATCAAATATCTGATCGTAACTCGTAAGCAATCGGCAAATTATTTTTCGATTTTGCACCATATTTGCGCAAACAAACGAACCGAAAATTGATTCCCCGCGCAATTAATTGCAAGAATTCCAGTCTGGAACACATGCTCAAAATTCACGAATGAAGATAGTAAATATTTTCTTTCAAAATTGCTCTATTTATTTTTAAAACATGACAAAATTCTTACCTGGATGTTACCCAGTCATCCCTGATGTTTAGTCTCCGTTAAAAGACATCATCGTCGATAATAATTAAGTAAAAGCTCTGTATTTCGAGCCCAAAATTCAAAACAAATTTAAAATATATGGCCACATAATAGGAAGGTATAGCAAAAGCGTAACTCAAGCAAGTATTTGTCAGCGTTTTTACAAGCAATTCGTCATCAATCAC